ACAATAATTAAATAGCAATCAGAAAAATCTATAAGCTATTGTGTTGATTATTTGAACTCCAGTAACATTACTGGATTCAGGGATAATTTTATTATTAATAGACACCGAAGGACATTTACCCTTCATTAATGTAAATGTTATATGGTGTTATACTATATCACCTGTGAAGGTTCCAATGGTTGTATCTTCCAAAACCGGAATGTCTCTTGTATATAGTATATATATATATATATATATATATATATATATATATTGAATGGTATTGAATATATATATATATATATATAACTAGTGGGGTGTATGGCATCGTGCCTTAAAGCAAATTGCTGGAACTTCCCGTACCGTAACGAAATATTCGAGGAATATTAAATGTTTATTACAAATAGATTATTATAAATATTGTAACATTGTCTAATATTTATAAGAATTATATAATCTGAATTGCAAAGTTGAAATTATTTATTTAAAGTATATTAGAATTATAGTCAAATTTAAAATAAAATCTGAATTATTTTCGATATACAAAAAAATTTTTTTTGGATAAAAAAAAAGTTGAAACAAAATTTTTTTTCCAAAATCAATTATTTTGCTAAGACAAGCAGAAAGTTCTTTGAATAATTTAAATCGGACGCTTGGTTCTCTCAAATTACTTTTATTCAAAAGCTTTAAATATATTGCTGTAATATATTTATCCACAACCCTGTGGCATTGCTGAATCGTGGAATGCTTGCGTCGAAAACCAAATTGTTGATCTGGAAATAAGTCATTATGATGATTAACAAATATTTCATTCAGTATAAGTTTTCCAAACACTTTTGCCGAAGTGGATTTATTGGCCTATATGAATCAACAAACTCAGGGTTTTTGTCAGCTTTTGCTATCAATATAATTTCTGACGATTTCAAAGCATTTGGCCAGTAATTAAGTCTTAATATAGCATTTATGACGTAAGTAATTAGAACGAATCCCTTTTTAGGTAGTTTCTTCAGCATTTTAGGAGTGATGAGGTCCATGCCTTGAGCTTTTCTATTACGCAGGGAATGACATTGTGAGAGAACTTCTCCAGCTGTGAATCTCGGAGCACGATGAATCGTAGATGGTAGTGGAGTCTGGTTTCTCGTTCGTTAGTTACCGTCGTATTCAGAAATATTAAATTTGAATTCTATTTCTAGATAGTCTGCAAAACACTTAACCTTTTCTTCATTACTCCTAGCCATGGAAAAACCATCTGCTGTGGCGACTTTTATTGGATTGCTTATTGATTTCGGCTTTTTATTGCTCTTTATTGGGCGCCAAATAGAATTGTTCAATCTACTGAAATTTGATAAATAGTCTTCAAAGTTAGAATTATTAAATTCTTTTAATTTATTTTTAAGTTTATTAACTTCCCGAAGGAGAAGTTTATGTTTTCATCAAAAAATCCGATTTGCTAATTTTATGTTTTCTCGACGTTTCAAGCCATTCTGAACCGAATGAGACCAAATTTGGAAAAAGTATGTGTGTGTGTGTGTGAACAGATTTTTTACCGTAAATCGACGTTTTCTCATAAACGGCTGGACCGATTTCAAAAATTTAAAAGCCATTCGATGTATCTCGATGATGAGGATTATGTTTGTCAGTTTTGTGCGTCGATCGGCCAAGCCGTTTCTTTATAAACCGCAGAAAAGTGAAAAATTTTTCGTCTACGTTTTAGCCCGTAATTCTGAATCGATTTTGAAAATTCAAAAACCGTTCGAAAGATATTGGTTGGGAATCGTGCTGATTAGTTTTTGGTAGAGATCGGCCGGGCCGTTTTCTTGTAACAAAGTTTAAAACAAAAAATTCGACGATTTTTATGATTATTTTTTTGACGATAGATACCATAGTCTTCTAGATCGTACTAAAATATTACAGCCCTACGATAACTCGTTTAGCTTTAAAAATTCGTCAAAGTTTGCAAAAATTAGTATCGTTTTTCTGACGTTTGTCAAAATTAGAACTTTCATCGACGTTTGCTCAAAAACGCCTGAACCGATTTCAGAAATTTAAAAACCATTTGATGTATCTCGATGAGGATTATCGTTTCTCAGTTTTGTGCGACGATCGGCTGAGCCGTTTCTTTGTAATTTGAAAAAAAGTGTTAAACTTTTCGTCCACATTTAAGCTCATACTACCAAATCGATTTCAAAAAATCGATAACTGTTCGAAAGATATTAGTTGGGAATGATACTGATTAGTTTTAGGTGAAAATCTACCGAGCCGTTTTCTTGTAATTAACTGTTGAAAAAAAAAACAAGCCGATTTTCATGGAACTTTTTTTAGCTCTAGTAGCCCAACAAAAACAAAAAAAACTATTTTGAACTACTACGAAAAGTATCTGAACCGACACCAAACAATCAAATAGTAAACAAACCTAAATCCCCGCCTATATTCGTCCACAAAATTTTAAAACTTCTCAAAGAGAGAAATACAGAAATGCACTCATTTCAAGACAAAAGCAAGAAGACTTTTAAAGTAGTTGTGGGGAACCTGCACTACAGTACAGATTTTTTTTTTATTTATTAATAGCAATCAAGATACAACATAATCTTATAAGCTATTGTGATACAAAGGAATCGAAAAAAAAAAATAATAATAATAATAAAAGAAAAAGCGAAAAGAAATAATTAACTAGAGTTCACTCCAATGAGTGAAGCCTAGTGTTTCATTTAAGGTCGCTTGGCCAGCATCTTTTCAGTCTTCTTATTGATGAAGAGTTGAAGCGATGAGCTGGTTGTAGTGGCACTCAATTTTTGAGAGCTAGATCGAGCTTCTGCCCTTGATGACATCTGTGACGTATGGAATATCTAAATCTTTATGAATAGCGTGGTTAGTTATGTACTACGGTACGTTGACTATATTTCTTAGTATTTTTTTTGACATCTTTGCATCATTACTATATTGGATTTGCTCGCGCATCCCCATAACTCGATTTCATAGGTCCAAACGGGTTTTATGACACATTTGTATAGCAGTACTTTAATAGGCAGCGAGAGCTTTGAATTCCTTCCTATAAACCAATTGATTTCTTGGACTTTGAACTTGATTTGTTGAATTTTGGCTTTGATGTGTTGCTTCCAGGTTAGTCTGGAATCCAAGTGCATGTCCAGGTATTTGACCACATCGGTTTGTGACATTGTACATTGGTTTAGGAAAACTTGAGAACAGGTATCTTTTCTCAGCGAAAAGGTTATATGCTTCCATTTGGCCTCGTTGATTTTTATTTTTCATATTATGGACCAGGTCTCGATACTAAAGTACACATATTGAAGACATAAAAACCGAACTAGAAACACTAGGTCATGAGGTAGCCCGAATTTCCAATATTAAACATACAATAACAAAAGCACCGTTCTGTTTATTTCTATTAGAACTGGAACGCAAACATAATAATTCAGACATTTACAAAATAGAGTTTTTAAATAGAACCAAAGTTAATTTCGAATCAAAGCCGGTTAGAGAAGTCCTACAACGTATAAGATGCCAAAGATATGGACATACAAAATCCTGTTGCTTCCGGAAACCCCGTTGCGTTAAATGGGCAGAAGAGCATCTATCTAAAGAATGCAAATGGAACGACCCAATTAATGTAGGGGTGAAGTGCGTTCTCTGCGAGCAAAATCACCCGGCGAACTACAAAGAATGATCAAATTATTAAGAAATCAATCAATCAATCAAACAGACACCATTTCAAAGACTTCTCTAGTAATACCAGGCACTTCCTACCCACAAGCTATAAACTCCCGTATTAATAACAACAACAACAACAATGAGAAAAGCTTAGAAGATAATACCATTAATCATCCAAATAATTCACAAAATGACATAATCGAACTCAAATCCGTGATAAAAACGCTAGTAGAACAATTGAGTGTAATGCTCAATTTGTTAACACACGTAGTAGGACAGAAACGTAAAGAATGGATTTTTTACGTTTAGCAATATGAAATGCCAATGGTCTCGGACAACATCGCCTGGAACTTCAACATTCTCGCAAGTACGTAAGAAATTCAAGTTTTTATCAACACTGTCCATAAATTCGGAGTTGTGTGGATGAAAAACTTGACAAAAATATTTTGTAAAAGTTACGAAACAACAAATATATTTGCGTCAAATGTACATTTTTGAATAAAATAATGTATAGTATATTATTTATGCGTATAAAAATTAGATTTTATTCGTTTTTTTCTTATGATTTTTTATGAAGTTACATAAAAGTTTTATCTAAAAGTTCATAAAAATTTCATTATTTTTTCAGTAAAAAATAAATTAATTATTATCTGAAATAAATAATATAATAAGTAACTCTTTAATTGTCGGTCAATTTGACAGCGCGCGGTAGGTATAGGTATACACGAATTGCCGGTAGGTTTAGTGTTAATAATCTGCTAGTTTCGTACATTCCACGTACGAATTTTAATTCTATATGATAAGTATAAAAGCATTTTAAATTATAAGGCACAATTTTCATTGGGTGTTACCTCATGTATAACTGCAACGCAAAAACGCAATCGAAGGTAAGTAAATTATTTGCAGATTTTATGTTGTCGAGCTAAATTTATAAAAAAAATTCTCACAAACATTAAAAAAAATGTATTTATATTATATATATATATATATATATATATATTTATATATATAAATAAAATTATCTAACTTTTAATTATTCTGAAAGGAAACCACTTACTTAATCCCAGTATTATATAAAAAGTCTATAAAAAGTTGAATTTATTAAAAGTCGTATTAACAAAATAATTTTATTAGTGTAAATATTCTAAATTCGGCTATTTTTAGAACACAACTTCTTCCATATGTTTTAGAGAATGAATTCAGCTATAATTTTCCTTAAGCCGAAATTTAATTTAATTATGGATTTATATTTCCACAAAATTCATATGAATATTTTTTTTCTATTATTTAAAATTAATTTTTGTTTTAATTCGGGAGCTATATATGATAAAACAAATATCTATTATGCATACCCCAAACATGGCTCTTAAATCCGGATCTCGAAACCTGAATGGTATATTTGAAACATGTAGTCGTTTTGGTTGTGCGGCTCCCTTATCTGCATTGGCTTGTCCAGGTTGCACGGGCACCAGCGCACCCGGGCCCACACCGTCTAGTTCACCTTCATTCTGCTGCAACACGACATCGGACTCGGATGGGACGTAGTTTAAAGAATTCTATAAATAAATAAAATATGAAAAAAGAGAAACAAATAAAGCTTAAATGTTATATAAATATATAGCTAAATAATATTTAAATAGAAATATAAATTAAATATAAAGAATGAATAATTAATATACTTAAAAACTGATATATTTTAATATGTGTCAGAACCTTACGTCCAATGAGCTGTTGGTTGAAACTTCTTACTTCGTATTTTTAGATGGTAACCCAATGGTTAATCCATCCATATTTGATGATTTTATTGCTAGAATGTATCTAATACGGCTGACTTTTTATTGGTGCAGCAATGCCGGGTGAGGGCTATTTTCACATGGAAACATATTGCTATCTATATTTCCAAGTGAAAATCATTGTCACTGCCACCTGACAACAGGCTGCTCGAAGTGGGTATCGAACCCGGGACCTCTGAATCATCAATTAACTTGAAGTATTAAATTTGTCTCTAAATATATCCAAAATATATAAAGAACTATGAAAAACGACACAAACCTTTGGACAAAGAGCTAGTGAATCTATTGAATAACGGTATTCCTGTAAGACTAAAAATTTTTGTGCTGGTGATAGGTACTTAAACCATCGTCTGGCAGCTTTTAGCCCTACACATCATGGTTGTGCAGGCCTTTAAAAGTGTAAAAAACGAAAACTAAATTTGTTCCTGTAAGCTTAAAATTTTTATACAATGTAATTTATTTAATAAAAAAAATCAAAAATAATAATGCCAGACGCTTTACCTGCAAAACTGATAGCATGGATTCAAACTACGTTATGTGAAATTACAAGTGGTCAGAATAAATTTAATTAGTCACAATAAAATATATATTGTTATAAATGAATCATCATTATAGAAGTTAAAATATTTTACGAGAAATGTTGTGTCGCTGGAATGCAGTTTTAACTCTTATAGCAAGCATTTACAATTTACTCTCGAACTAAAGAATAACAATTTCATCAGTTTTCTAGATTAACAGGTTCACCGCAAAAACAATAATATAATTACGAATTGGTATCACAAATCAGCTTACTCAGGTCGATACCTCAACCATCTTTTCTGCCACCCTCTGCTAAAATAGGCACCATTATGAATTTAGTAGATCACGCTTTATTATTGTCACATAATTTTTTTTTTTTTTTTTTGAAGAACAACTTCTTATTAGTATCAGAAATCTTAAGTAACAATTCTTATCTTCAACATTTGATCCAATCCACGACCAGTGTGGGAATCAAGTGAGCTTGTAGTCAATTTGAGAGAAACAAATGGTCATGACATTTTAAGATAATCAACGAAATTTAATATATATTTTTATGCATGGGAATATCTTTTAATATATTTAATCATTTCAAGTGATTTTTTTAAGAAATTTTGACACGCTATTTAGGAACCACATTGTTAGGCCCTGTTGTCTTTTTATGTAAATGTCGGCCGTTATGCATTTGCAAAAACAACCCCTCAGAGAATTTTCTTTTAAATACGTTCTCTTCAAAACGTAAAATTTTTGGGTTTAAAAAATCTGAATTATGATTTAAATTATTTATATCCTCGGTTAACGTAGTCTTGAATTGTTTGGTATTTTTTCAGTTATTTTTATGTTGATGAAGGCGTTTACTCAGGTTTTAGCCAGTTTCTCCGATATAAATATGTTCGCAATTAGAGCAATTAATCTGATATACTAAGTTACTGAGGCGGTCAAATTTAAACCACTAGGCGAACAGTCTTTAGACATATGCATCACATCATTATCAGATTGTTTATAGATATTTGAATAACAATTTTTGTTTGCATTTCTATGGGTTTTTAAAAATGGTTAATTTTCGATACGGGAAGTTCCAGCAATTTGCCTGAGAACACGATGCCATACACCACTAGTTGCAAATTAGCACGAGATACGTAAACTCATTCCTAAACTCGCATTAGTTATTAAAAGCGCAGCACAAATTGCCCAAATTGCCATAAAGTTATTCAAATTATATTGTCCAATTCACTAATTCGATGCAGACTTTCACCATTTTATCTATGTGTAGTTAACTAGCCACATGCAAACAGTTTTTCTGATATTGTTATTATTTATTTATTATTAATTATTCAATAGACAATCAGAATACATTGTTTCTATAAGCCTATGTGATGATGTCTGATATTATTATGATGAGATTTTTTTAATTTATGGACATATAGCTGTAAAACCTCACTATCTGAAAATACAAATCACAATGCTTTAAGATTGTTAGTTAAGAGTAAAAAGATCTGAAAAAGTATTCAATAGATACCTCACTATCTAAAAGAACAAATCACAATGCTTTAACATTGTTAAGGGTAAAAAAAATCTGAACAAGTATGCAATTATACCCTAGCGCTGAATTTCATTTAATATTTTTTTTATTGTATATTCATAAAATTATATCAAATTACGTAACACAATAAATCGCAACATAACGATGATTATTTCGATTAACTGAACAAAGTAGCTCAAGTACTCTTGAATAGGTGATAACGATTACGACTCGTAATCTGTTTGTTGAGCTGCGACGCCACTTTTTGTATTACGACATTAACCCAATGTAAATTCATCAGCGCTGTACAAACACTTGTGAACGCGAAATTATTTAACTCTTTGGGGACGGCTGTCCACCTGAGTGGACAAACATACTCTGTGAGGCACAGCCTATTTTATAAACAATGACTCAGTTTGCATCGAAAAGTTTAATAAATTACATATAGCAGTGATAAACAGTGTTGTATTTTAAAAATAATTTTAAGTTATTTTAGTAGTTTTTTTTTAAATATATAAAACGACCGAGCGCTTTTAAATATGGCAAAACGACTGGTAAATTTTGTGAATTAAGCAGTAGTGAAGATGAGTTTCAAATAGACATTCATACAGACAAATTTTACGAAATTACTATTCGCACCGAAGATAGTGATGAATGTGATGATAATATTATCCAACCAACAAAAAAAGAAGAAGTTCGACAAATTTAATGAAAAGCGGGAAGACATTAGCGAATGTGCCGATTCTCCTTCAATAATTTGATATACATCAACAAACATCCCGACTATAAATACAAAGCAATATAAGACATCCAATAGATTATTTTACTTTTTATTTTACAAATGAATTATTAGACAATATAATAGAAAAAACAAACCATTAGGGCAGCAAAAAAAAAATGAACAAATATACTGACTAATCAGTATATCATAACTACCAAATCATCTAAAATTTCTAAAAGGTTCTTATTGTAAGTTGGAGTCTAATGGTATATCAAAAGTATAAAGCTAAAAGAAGTGGCCCAAATACAATTTGAATTTAATAAAATTGTTTTCAATTATTTTGATCCATTAACAAAAAAATATATAGCCTATATATGCAAATTAAAAAACATAACAAAAATTTGAACAATTTCTTTGGTATTAATAAATGATGTGACTTTCAAGTCACAGCGGCGTATAATGTTCGCACTTCTACATATGAAAAAGGTATTTCAACCTGAAAAAGTTATAAGTATTTAATATTGGTTGTATTGACAACGTTAAAGAATTAAGTTTTGTTACATCATCTCATGAAAAACCCATAATTATTCGGTAAAATTTCGAAAAATTTGGAATGTAACCTGAAAGATAAGCGGCCCATAGAGGGTTAAGATTAAGATGTGTACGCAAAGAATTACAATATTATCTAGTAGTGCATGGCATAGTGCTTTAAGGCAAATTGCTCGAACTACCCGTACCGAAAAATAAGTTTTAATTTTTTTTTAAGTTTTTGAAATTAAAAAAAAAATTTAATTTTTGAGAATTTTGAAATAAAAAAAAAATTGGCTTTTTTTGAAGAATTTTGATTTTTTATATTTCAAATTTTCTTCATACTTTGAATTATTCGGAAGATAATAAGCTTTTTTCAAAACAATCGTGCTGTGTGGCCGTTTTAGAGAGGCAATATCGAAGCGCGTAAGCGCCGCATCGAAGTTTAATGAATAAACAATGTAAACAAAATTCATACTTATTATAACACTAAACCTACCGACAATTCGTGTACCTACGTGTACCTACCACGCGCGGTCAAATTGACCTACAATTAAAAGGTTATCTATTTTATTATTTAATTCAGATAATAATTGATTTATTATTTAATCTATATAAAATAAAGAAAATTTCATGAAGTTTCATCTGAACTTATTTTTATATAACTTCTAAAAAAAAATTAAAAAAAAGAAAACGAACAAAATGAAATATTTATAAAGAATGGCACACGCATAATTTACCAATTATTTTAGTCTGAAATGGTTATTTGAAGCAAATATATTTGCTGTTTCATAACTTTCGCAAAAAAATATTTTGACAAGTTTTTCATCCACACAAAGTCGAACTTATGAGCAGTGTTGATAAAAAGTGGAATTGGTTGAAATTTTGAATATGCATAGTCGAGTTAAAAATTATAAATAGTAACTAAAACAAAAATTCGTGCCTAAAATGCTTTTTTACTCGTCGTTTTTCTTTTACTCGTCGTCTATACACATCTATACTCAATTCGCACTTTCATCCAACTAGGATCAAAATATGGAAATATACCCACTAGAATTTTTCGACTTCATGTTACATTTCTTAGCAAACTAGAGACAAGCATTTATTCGGTTTACTTTTTTACAGCAAGCAAGTAATGATATTTGATTTATACTTTCTTTAAGGTTTGAGAATGAATTTATTAACTTCCCGAAGAAGAAGGAGAAATTTATGTTTCCATCAAAAAATCCGCTTAGCTAATTTTATGTTTTCTGGACGTTTCAAGCCATTCTGAATCGAATGAGAACAAATTTTGAAAAAGTATGTGTGTGTGTGCATGTGCGTGAACAATTTTTTTGCTGTAAATCGACGTTTTCTCATAAACGGCTGGACCGATTTCAAAAATTTAAAAGCCATTTGATGTATCTCGAAGAAAACTAGCGTTTCTCAGTTTTGTGCGGAGATCCGAGCCGAGCCGTTTCAAAAGGTGAAAAATTT